GGATTTTTTTTTTCTTTTTATTAGCTAGTGACTTTTAAAATTAACATTTATGGCTAAAGCAATCAAGAACTCTTGTCAAAATTTCTCTGCTCTGCTACTGGTTCAACCACTGGCTTCATCACTGTGTTTGACACGTGTGTGACGTCAAGAAACAAAACCCTTTGAGTACTGCAGGTCATTCATAATAATTATCATCCTGTGAATAAGTACATAATACAGTATAGCTTCCTGGAAATCATTATGACCAGGCTTTACTCAGAATGAGAACTGATTATTTACTCAAACAGCATGCCTGGTGAAGTAATCGATACGAACCTTTTATTTAAAATAGTATTCATTTTATGTTCTGTTTAATATTCTTCCTCTTCCTTTAGGGGAAGTATAAGGAAAAAGAGTTTTAAAACTGATAAACTCCCTCTAGTTTGGTGATAGCTAAGATTTTCATAGCTAGAAATTATCTTTGTGCTCATGGCAGAAGGAATCAGGCACATCAGCTGCCAGATTTATCTAGTGCTTGTTCTGTTAATGTTTTTCCAAATGACAGTAACCTAGCATTTTAGAGAATGGTTGTCTTACTAAATAGTGCAGCATGATGAGAATGGAAGTCAAGAACAAAACTGCTGATGCTATGGATCAGCTGCTCACACTATACACCTTTCAGGGCATTTCACTCCAGTCTGTTTCTAGACCAGTTTGAGAGCTCAGTTTGATTTGGTGGCTCATCCATTGATCTTCCAGATTCCAGGTTCTGTGTGCCAAGACAAATTTCTGGTGTGATCAAAACCACAGTAAAGTGAACATTACTAAGAGTTCCCTTCCAAAGTGCCCTCCTGATCTGAACTTAAAGACTAATGTAGATACACCCTTCAGTTGATACTGAATTAGCAGTAAGTATTTGTGGAATGTACCAATTAGAGTACTGCACTTTCTCTGCTAAGTGTGGAGGAAATATCTCCAAAAACAGCCTCTGCACTCGAAACCTCCCCTAAGGCCTCTGAAGCAGAGGAAATCTGCATTTATCTGTCAACTCAGTTAATTCAAACAGCAGTTATTTGGAACAAATCGTAATCACTCCTTCCCGTAATAAACACAGATATTCAGATTGCCAGATGGATCTGAATGAGCGACAGCCTAATTATGCCTTACCAAGATAATATTAAAAAGCTTAAGTGCAAATATTTCTGCCCCTCACCTACAGTTAGGGTTAAAAAGAGCAACATATGAGAATATGAGGAATGAGACTTAAGACCACTATGTAGCATTTGAGCTTGCACCACATTGAGCCTTAATATGGTGTAGCAGAAAAGTGTGATATTTGCATAGAAGATGTATGCTACAGAATTATCTATCATGTCCATGTATGCTCAATGTTTATACAATTTCTCCTTTGACTAAGTAGCCTTGATTAGAAGTACCTGCTCATTGACTAATTGCTGGTATTTATATTTAAAATTCATCAATTCTCATAGTGATAAATAACCAAGAATATTTATGGAGTATAAAACATGACCCTTTCCTAATAAGTGGAGCTACAACTGCAATAAGCAAAATGTCTTGAGGTTAGCTAGAAATCTGCACAAAATTCAGTATTGCTAATGGCTTTGCATCTTCTGCTTTATTTGTCTGATTTGAAAGAGGGTTTATTTGCATTCCAATGATGCAGCTCTCAGCAGCTTCTGTTTCTGTGTCTGCCTTTAGATAAAAAATATCTGGAAATATCACTGGAAATCCTTTGTCTTCTGTCAAAATTTCCACACTCTGAGACACACCGAGAATGAGGGAAACTTTCACACTCACTATGGAACACCATTTGTGATGAAGTTTTCAGAAGAAGAGAGGCGGGGAAAAACACTACAAACAATGGGCCATTGAGTGTCTCTGTGTTGTTGAACTGCACAGGAGCAAATGAGGAATACTACTCTGAGAACAAACTTTCAGACTGATCCAGACACGCAGGAAAGGGCAATGTGTGGAAAAATAGTCAATGAGACTGACTGAATATTCCAAAGGGTTTTGGGTTTCTTGCAAATTAATTAAGTTTCTGTATCATGAACTAAATACATGATAAAAGTCACTAAAATACATTTTCAAGGTGCTGATACATAAGAAGGCTGTACGTAAATGCAGTACTGATAGCTATAGTATGTAACTGTGCCTAGATAATTAAATAGTCTCTCTGTCTTGTCAAGTGGTGCATGTGTTGCTCTTGGCCATATTAACAATACAGAGGGTGTAGGCAAGAGGAAACTGCTGCTTCTGGATAACCCTGCTGTACTTCTGAACAGGGAGAGCTTTCCTCAGAGGAGATATTATCACATGCTCATCTCAGCAGACTGTCTTTCAAGCCTCAGCGAGCCCTAAGGCTCCTCAAGGAGCTGACAATAAAGCACTGGTTTCTTAGATGAGTTCTCTTTCTGGTTTTGCTATCTTACTTGCACACCTTAATTGTCTTGCCATTTAAGGAATAATTCCTTTTGTATAATTCAATTTCAGGTGCTGTCTAGGTATTGGAAATTGCTGGTCTATATATAAGGAAACCGAAATGCCTTCTCTGTTCTAAGATGGTAGAAAGAAATAATGAGTCATCATTTGTCTCTTCAGTTAAACAGAAGTTAAGAACTTCTGACTTCAGGGGTTTGCAAAGACACAAAACTCTTATCTTTTTCTTTTCTCCTTTTTTCATATTTTCAATTTGTTCTTTTTATCTTAGTTACATGACAGCCACTTTATGCCTCAGGCTCCTTCATGTCCCTGCAAAACAGCTATAAAAAATTGCAGTCTGACTTTTCTCATCAACAAAAATCCCCTTCATCAGATAAATTACTACCTTGACCAATGCTCTGAGTGACAGCCAGCATCCTGAGAGCACAGGAAGGGGGTGAGAAACATGGGGACATTTGCAGGGGTAGGGTAGATTCTTCATATAATTTACCATCCACTTTGCCTTGCTGACACTGCCCTCTCCATCCTGCAGAAGACAGCTCTGCTGTAGTTTGCCTAACATGGGATGGAACATCTTGAGAGCCCCATATCCCAAGGTCACAGCAGTAACAGACATGAACCAAGAGCTTCTTTCTGTGTTTCTCTGCTATGCTTCTCAGGGTGGTTTGCTAATAGAACTTTTCAGTGATTTATTAAGGTTTCAACATCCTTGGGACAGTGTAAGGAACAGTACAAAATGCCTTGTCTATAACTATAACCAAAATCCATATCCCAGAGGAATTCTCAAAAATTACACATTTCATTGAATGATACACTTCACTCTAAGAACAGGAAACTCTCATGCTAAGTGAGGAGACAATCATGCTCCTCTTGCATCTCTCCCCAGTTTCCCAGTCCTCAGGCATAGCAGCTCAGGCTCACACATCTGCTTATCAGCCCTCTTCCTTACTGTTCTGTGTCCCAAACCTGGAAAATAAAAGGTGCAAAAAGGGCAAATTAACTCATCAGCTCAGTTTCCATAGGGGAGGTAATAGAAGGGCAGAGGAAGGGGAGCCCTTATAAATGAATTGTGGTTGGCAGTGTTTGTGCTGCTGCTGCTGCACAGGGAAGGTTCTGCCAGCTTTTCCTAGCCTATATACTTCAGTGGTGAAAAATTGCTAGAGGTCAAAATACGTCACCAGAAAGCTAAGCCTGCAAGGGCAGAGTTTTAGTTGTGAGGTGCACTGTGGTATTTGTCCATCTGTACATTAAGGGTCTCTAGATTTTGAAAAGCTATAGGTGTAATTCCTTATGATGTTGGACACCCCCACAATATTTAAATTAATTTGGAGGAGAGATGTAGTGATACCCTATGACTCATTCTCCAAGTTTGGGGCATAACCATGATTAATCATTTTCAACACCCTTTGCAATGCATGCTGTGATGCCATTTCAGGTTCACTGCTTTTGTCCCACCCAATCAACTGTAAAGTCCCCGGTGTTGGAAGATCTGTGCTCTCTGATAGGCAAGACACACTCTTGGGTAGGCACTGGAGAGTGCCCATTGTAGTAGCTGGAGGGACCTGAGAAAACTATTTAAAACTTATTTGTCTCAAAATTTTTAATGATGATTCATTTCTATTCCTGGCATTCTTCTATAAGCCTATCATAAATTGAATATGAGGATGCAGTGAAAGTTGTTGACTATTTCACTACATATCTTCATGTACATAAGAAAAAAATGTACTTCAAAAATTCTGAACAATAAAAAATGCATGTCATTTATTAGCTATTCTAATGAATTGTGTTGCTATGAGAGTTCTGAAAACGCATAAATTGTCATCTGGTTTAAAATCAAGAATATTAACATATATGAGGGCTTGTTAGTATATGTGAGCACAGAATTTCAAATTGCTTTAAGAAAAGGAAGTGTTGAATCTTCATAAAAGATCTGGCTGCTTTTGCCAGTTACTCTGAAAGGAGAGAAACTGAGGAGCAAGAGGGCAATGCAACTTGCTCATTTGCTTAAGTCTGAAGGGAAAGACAGACTTAGTCTTGTATTTTGACCACATACAATTCCAGCAATTTTAAAGTGGAGTCTGATGTACCCCACTAGCATTAAAGTATTGTCCTATCTTACAGATTGAGGAGGTATAAGTTAGGGCAAGGAAATTCAACTCCCAGGTTTAGTTGTGGCTGTCAATTTGTGGAACATTTGTGTGTCAGAACACTTCTGATCCTTGCTCTAGAGCAGAAAGCCAACCACATTCTGGGCTACATCAAAAGCAGCATGGCCAGCAGGTCAATGCAGGTTATTTTCCCCCTCTAGTTCACTCTGGGGAGACCCTGAGTAGAGGACTGCAGCCACCTTTGGGACTCCCAGCATAGGAAGGGTTTGGTCCTGTTGGAGCAAGTCCAGAGGGCACCACAAAGGTGATCAGAGGTCTTGAGCACCACTCCTCTGGAGACAGGCTGAGAGTTGGGATTGTTCAGCCTGGAGAAGAGAAGGTGTGGGGATGCCTTATAGCACCTTCCAGTACCTAAAGAGGCCTAAAGGAGAGACAGAGAGGGATATTTTACAAGGACATGTAGGGACAAGGACAAGGAGTAATGGTTTTAAACTGAAAAATGGCAGGTTAAGGCAAGATGTTAGTAAGAAATTCTCTACTGTGTGGGTGGTGAGGCACTGCCACAGGTTGCCCAGAGAAGTTGTGGGTACCCCAGCACTGGAAGTGTTCAAGGCCAGGTTGGGTGGGACTTGGAACAACCTGGTCTGGTGGAAGATGTCCCTGCCCGTGGCAGTGGGGTTGGAACTAGAAGATTTTTGAGGTGTCTTCCAGAGCAAACCATTCTATGTTTTTCTGAGTCTTTGCCTGCTAAACCAGTCTTTCCTGCCGAGTGGCCATGCCCCTTTCCCCTTGCAATTATGGTGATAAGAAAATGAAAGAAATAAGAGCCATATAGATGAACTTATGAATGTTTCCAAGTCACCATGTCCAGATGTGAATCTGAATGTGGCATCTCAGGGTGAACATTCCTGGTTGTTTGCCAGTAGATTTCCTCAGGATTTCCAGATAGCATTGGCTGCACCCCAGCCTCACCACCTGGCCTACAGGCCCAGTACAGATCCCCTGTTTTCACTACTGCTGTTTTTAATATTTTATTCTTAATTATCCACATCTTCTACTAAAGCAAGTGGGAGGTGTATAGGATCAAGACATATGTTCTTCAAGCTCTAGAGCTGGAGCACATGTACATGGAGAAGTGCTATTCATGCTACAGACCATGAGGGATGGGCCCTGATGAAGGTATGGTAAAAGAAAAATCAAAGAATCTTTGTAGAGACATCTTACGAAATTATTCTGATATATCAAGGACAAGGAAAGCAGTCCTACTTAAACCATATCTGAAATTGTATGGGTGAGTCAAGTTAAGAAATTTGGAAGGTTACAGGTCTGTGTTGTTGTTCCTGACCCTGACCCTGTGTGTTGCTCCTGACCCTAATTCTGAAGGACTTACTCTCCTGCCATGTTACTGTCCAGCAGCAGCAAGGCTGATGGCTTCTCAGTCAAGCAGGACTGATGCTTCTCCCTTGTTTCCTTCAAGGAGCATCACTTTTTAAGGTACCTGGGAAGAGAAAGAAAATTTAATATGGCCCTGTATAATTTTCATTCTTTGGAATTGTCAGCAGCAAACATGGTCTGAACTAATGTTTCATCTGGATGTCCACAGATCGGCTGAGAAATCCAAATATTGATTTTATATTTCATGAAGATGTATGTCCTCTCTAGTGTTTGGACCAAAGCTTTGTCTCTTTCTCTCTGATTCTTTGAATAAGAAAGTTCTAATTCAGTGCTTATCATCCAATCAGAGCTGTACATCTCAAAAATCACATTTTCTGGTGTGTTTGTCATGCTAAGAAATGATCCTGCTTGAGCATTATGGTTCATATGGCAGTTAGTTCTTACACTTTACTTACCTGGCTGGAAGAGCTATCAACTGATGTTATGGATGAATAATGTAACAAACTTAAAACCATGCCCTCTGGCAAAACTTTTCAAGGCAAATGGGATGAATCATCGATAAAAATGTTTTGAATATTTAAAAGTGTGCCTGAAACCACCCCTGCATAAGCTTCCTTTGGCAAATCAGAAGCTATAGTAGGATTATGAAAGCTAGGCCATGTGTCTAAGCTCTTCAAAGGCAGCTGTTACTGGCTGCTACTTGACTAGATGACATCAAAATGACTTGTCAAACGAATAGGGAAAGAAACTAGGGAAGAACTGGAATAAACTGAGGTCTTTGTACCTGCACGCTTGTTCCAGGATAGAGACCTAAACAGCATAGAAACTTGGTAGGTAGTTCTTTTTGGTGTATTTTGATGGCCATGGGCACTGCCCAGGAACTTGAATGCCCCAGCAAGCCTCTGTTTCTCATGCACATTTCTACATGTGAGTTCTGCTGGCAAGGGATGAATTCTACCAGGTATCAGACCTCACCCTGAAAACTGAGGAGGTTGAATTAATTTCTTTGATCTTGCTTTGCTTGCCATCCTTGCAACACTGAATAAACTGGTATGTTGTAGGATATGTTGTATGTTTGTCTCATCTGTAGGGTGAGACAAACAAGACTGCATGAGTGGATGGGTCTTTTTAAGCACGGTATTTCTGAAAACCAAGAAGAGCAGCAAATACCTTCTCTCTGTACTGTGCACACTCCTGCCTTTGAGGAAAGGAGGAAAGAAGAGTCAACACAGCATCCATTTTATTAGGTAAGCTTATTTCACTGTCAAAAATATTCAAGTCATGATGATGTTATACAATCACATTAAGAAAAATGTTGTTCCTATTTCAAAGACTGTCTCATGAGGATGATCAATTGTAAAGTCCTCTCTATGCTTTTTCAAGGGAAACTACCCATGAAAGAAGGAAGAAGAAAGGAGTTAGCTGCACTAGTAGCTGGCTGCAGTCATCTTTCAGCCCTGTTGTTCTCCTGGAGGTGAAGAGGCTGGCAGTTGGGACTGTTGTTTTCTGTGCTCTAAAGGGACATTGAGCATGATGTGCTAACCTGGAGAAGCCATACCAGCTTTCATGTATACTTCACAGAGGTTTTCTTCATCAGCAGAAAATTTTGAACAGTTTTCCTGATGTTTGAAGTTATGGAGAAAATGTCTTGCCCATTCTGAATCTATGGAACATGCACAGTAATGTGCATATGTTGGGCAGCTCGTGGCTGCTACACAAAAGCTTCCTCTTCCCTTTGCAGCACAGTTGAAGTATGATGCTATGGTGGAAAAAGTCACTGATGTAGATGGAAGCTCCAGCAATAAATATTGAATATTCTTTATACTTTGCCCAGAAGAGAAGGTGAGTTTAAGTGTATTTCTTGAAGCATGTGGAAGCACTTCAGCACAGCACCAGTACCCATCATCATAAAGCTGCAGCTTTAGGCAGCACTTTTTTCTTGATGATCATAATTCAAAGCTACAAAGAATTTTTTTAGACAATCTGACAACAGTAGCAAAAGCTTAGCAGGAGCAGAAGCTCTTTCTTAGATGCCCTAGAGCTTTCTTTTGAGCAGGAAATCAAGAAAGGTGCCATGTCCCGAGCTCCTTGTGTTTGGTGATTTCCCTGACCTTGCAACACAGTCCAAGAGAAGACATATCAGCTGTGTCCATGTGCAAGATAATGTTAAGGGAAATAACAGGGATACATTTTTTTAAACAATTACATATGTAGGACACAAATTATTTTGATACTTATCAGTAGTAATGCTGTGTCCCTGTGATTCCACTCTTCTGCCCAAGTAAATAGGCATAATTTCTGGATGTGTCAGGAGATAGGGACTGATTTTCAGAATGTAGGATAGACCTTGTACCTTCTATAAAGAGATATGTATTTTGCTAGAGTTGATTTGATGGGATTTGCATCAGGGCTTGTGCTGTTGGGTCAGTACTGAAGCAGCACTGTCCACTTTGATGTTCTCCTACTCTGGCCTCTGGGGTTTCAGAACAAATTAATGCATCTCGTCAGCTGGGAGAGATGTTGGGCCAGAGTTTTGTGGGTGGATTTCCTCTCAGCTGCTCTGAGCTGATATCTTGTGAAATTTGCTCAGTCTCTGAACTGTGCTAGAATGTCTGTGCTAAGAATGACTACTAAATTCTAGGCAAAAAGTACAAGTGAGGAATCCCCCCCAGTCCCCAGAGTTACAGGGCTGACAGCAATGGGTTCATCATGTCAATGCATTTCATCTAAGCAGTATTTCTTCTTTTTCTCATCTGAGCATGCAAGAGGGTCAGGTTTTTTTCTGTTTGTGTAAAAAATGTGTCAAAGCCAAAAAAAAATTAAAACTGGACTGCACATTGAGTGTGTTGGGGTGCATGTGGTTGCATTTGGAACGTGACCACACTGCATTTATGCTCTGAATACTACCCAGCATGCTCCTCCTTCTGCCAAGAAGCAGATAGAAGTAAACTTTTTCTCAGGTATTGGTTTTATTAATCATACTGAAGATATGTGTATAGTTTCCAAAAATATTTACTAAATCCCATTGCAGTGGGACAATGAAGTTGTTCAATGCCAGTGAGATACTGCATAAACCAAGCAGCTGTGGTGGAGCAGAGGATCAATATCCCCAAAAGCTGGAAGCCCAGGTATCCTGTCCTCTCCAGAATTAAACTGTACTCCAGGTTGCTATACTGAAGGAAGTGGTAATGTACAAAAAGGACATCATTCCACATTTTCATCATTTCACTTTTCAAGCGTGTTATATGTGCTTGCTCTGCAGTCCTAGTTCAAAAGCAACATATGTGCAAGACACACCCGAAAAGCAAGAGTTTCTATCTCCTAACTGCTCTGTAGAAGATGGCTCCTTTGGGATTTTCATGCACAAAACACAACTGAATACACTGGGATTCCTACCTTATGCCCCCTACACATCCACAGGCTAGGAATGAAGAAGGAAGATCTAATGTGATGGCTCATTGCAGCTCTGGCTGCCTTGTGCTTCACTTGTGATGATTCATGAGGTCTTTCTTGGTGATGCAGTTCTAATCTAGGGGTTCCAGACAAAACCATAAATACAGGCACTTGGACAACTGACCCCATAAGGAGAGGTGATAATCTCCAGTGCCATGGCAGTAATTGACAGCTGTTTCTTTTTTTTTTTTTTTTTGTAGAAAAAGCAGACATATAACAATGCTTTGTTTCACACCAAAGCATTTAGAAACCTGCCCAACATGACAACAGCATTCAGCGTGTTAAAATAATCTCCTTCTATTCAGTAAATTGTCATAGATCTTATTACCTACTGCATCAGGTCACATCAGGATGTGCTGCCTGACATGATGTGGCACAGCGTGACAGCAACAGACACAGCATTGCCTCCTCCCAGCACAGAGATGTTCATACATTGGATGCTCAGGCAACAACTGGTGTGGCTATTCAATCCTCTCTGTTGCCTGCAGTTAGGCAAATGACCAAATTCTCTGAAGAACCTGCATTTAATAGCAAATTGTTATTTTTGTGCTGGCTTGAGGACAGAGTTTTCTTACAGGGCACCTCTACTGCCATTGCATCGGAAAGTCACGCTGGGCTGTTGAGGGCTGATGCACAGCTGAGCGCTTCAGACACAGCCCAGCAGTGAGTGTGGGAGGCATTCACACACTGCAGGGTGCGCAAGGCCATTCCCACTGATTTAGGCAGTTATAGTTCTCTACAAAAATATTAACATGGCAGGTATAAAACCAAAAGCTTCATGGCCTGTCCACAGATATTGAGAGATTTGCACTAACTTCTTAAACCATGATGTTAAACCATTGCAGAAAATAAATTTTCTGAAAACTGGGCTAAGAGGGCACCTTTCAAAAATAAAAAGCTTGGGAAACTCATTGAGATAATGAGCTGTAGGTGATTAACCCAATCACTGTTGAGGTCACCAGCAGTATTAGAGCCATAATCCCATTGATTTAGATTATTGTATAGTTTTGTATTTCAGTAACTTCTAGGTTGTATGTTTTATGTTATGTCTTACTCTTGCTTGATTGTGTGTAAGACCTCACCAGAAATCAAGGGTGAATATTGCTCAAACAAAGAAGATTGTACCTGCTCTTATCACATGAAGTTATTTCCAGACTGTAAAATTTCAGACTCTGTAAAGTTTCAGACTGTAACATTTCTGGAAACTCTGGAGAAATTGTGGTGAGATTGGAAAATATAAAAAAAAGGGGATCTCCTGCTGTCCTCAGGCCCTGTGTATTTGCCTCTCCAGGCAGCGTGCGTGACTCGCTGTGCAGCTCCCTGCTGCCAGCCCTTGTTTTGTGCTCTGGAGGTCATGAAAGGAAGTTCGTATTTTTCTAATCACGACCACTAGGTTCAGAGCAGGGGAAGGACAAAGAAGGGGAACCATGGGAGCTAATGTTAGGCTGCTGCAATGGCTCTGATGACTATTTTACATTGAAGAATGAATTGAGGTTTCATAGTTGGAAGCTGGAAGAGGGTTGTGGCAGAATTGCTCTGAAAGCCTGAGGAGACCTAGTGACTGAATGCACATGTAAAGCAGAGTAAAGATGCAGTCTCCATGGCAGCATCTCAGAACTGTACAGTAATATTTTGAAATGTAATATAGATTCTAATTTTTCAGTCTTAACCCATCAAATCAGTTTTACTATAAATACCCACGCTATCCAGTCTCCAAAAGAACTAAGGCTGACAGTTATTTTAAGCCTGCCCAACCAAAGACAAAAATGCAATTTACATTCCCTGCCAAAATACACTCCTTCAGTTAGGAGAACAGAAGGACTTTGGTTTTAGACAGGCAAAATCAAGGAAATATAGAGATTACAATATATGATCTCTACTTCCTCATACATCTAGATTATGGCAACCTTCAATTGCCAATATCTGAAAACACTGAAACTCTGTGGGCACGTAGATAGGAAAGCTTCTTACCATGACTAGCTACACTACCAATCAACTCAGGGCACAAAAGGGCTGCTGAATCTGTCTGAAGCCACCAGTGTATAACTCATGAGTGCATCTGATACACACCATGGTGTATAACTCAGAGCACATCTGAAAAAGCAGTGGCTGCTATTTGCAGACAAAAACTACAGGCTTAAACAGACACCAAGCACTTTGCTGATCCCACTAGTGTCTCAGTATGTGCCTTTATGTCTGAGGAAGCAGATGCTGCTCCCAGGTAACTGGGAGCATGTGAGAACACCCAAGGGAGCAATTGAATGTCCTCAGTGATGGTTGTCTGGGCTCCATAATAACAGCTGGATTCCATTCAGCATAACAGCTTGATTGAGAAAATATGCTCTAATAAATACTAGTTGTGATCTATGTTTCCACCTGACTTCATCCTCTTTTGAGGAAATTCACAATGATCTTATGAGAGCTGCTGAGAAGTTGTCAAAGTTGTTGATTATCAAAGAATAGCAAGGATGGGGATGGTTAATTAAGTTGTATTGAACAGTGTGGGACCTGAGTAGGATGTGAATGGTATGGAATAAGGGGCACAATGTGCAGGCTGGGGTAGAGTTAATTTTCTTCACAGTAGCAAATATGAAGCCGTGTTTTTGATTTGGCTGAACACATGCTAATACTACAGAGATGTTTTGGGCAGGGTTTACACAGAGTCAAGGTTTTTCTGCTTTCCTGCTGCAATGCTGGCAAGGAAGTTGGGGGTGCATGGGAGGCTGGGAGGAGATGCAGCTGGGACAGGTGACCCAAACTGACCAAAGGGATATTCCAGACCATATGGCATCATGCTCAGAATATAAAGTGACGGGAAGAAGGAGGGTGGTGGGGGACATTTGGAGTGATGGTGTTTGTCTTCCCAAGTCACCATTACATGTGATAGGGCCTTGCTTTCCTGGAGATGGCTGAACACCTGCCTGCCCATGGGAAGCACTGAACAAATTCCTTGTTGTACTTTGCTTGTGTGTGTGGCTTCTGCTTTCCCCACTAAACTGTCTTTATTGCAACCCATGAGTTTTCCAGCTTTTATCCTTCTAATTCTCTTCCCAGTCCTGTGGGTGTGGTAATGAGTGAGTGTCTCTGTGGGGCTCGGTTGGCAGCTGGGGTGAAACCACGGCAAAAATTATAATTGGAAAACATGCCCTAATTCATCACTGTGCAAATGTAGTTATTATGTAAAGAGCTATAACTCATTTTGAAGGTACTTGCATTTGTGGTATAGCTCCATATATACATGCTACTGGTCTGAAATATTTTCTTGATCATCCCAGACTAGATTTTCTAATACCACTCCCATTTTCCACCTCCTGTGCAGAGCACTTGGCTATCTTAACTCTGGACCGCTCTTACAGACTGGCTGCTTTGAACACCAGATATGAAAGGGTTTGGACAGACATAAAGTAGTAATGTTCTATAAACATCATAAACCCACTCTTATGCTCTGATGGAAAACACTGGGCTACAATCTGCAAGTCAGGCATCACAGCTCAGACCCATGCTAGAATTATTAATTTAAAAAAATTAAGATACTTGTGGTCTTGGCAAGTTACATATATTGCCATCTGTAGTAGCAGTTACATAAGTGGTGCCAGGATTTCTTTAGGAATTCAGAGCATTTTATTCTTTCCCATATCCAGAGAAACACTAAGATGTTGCTAGCAGGTTTGTTGCTAATTACACTTACAACTAAAGAAGAAGGAAATAAACAAGTATAAGATGAGATAATTACAAGGAATGTTAGATAAATAAGAGAATAATCAATAAACAAGCTGTTCTAACAACTGTCTCTGTGGAAACTGGAAATTCTGATTCTCAAACAGAGATACCAACTCAGTGATGCAGGTGTTGTGCCAGCTTGCAAATAACTGAGAAAGAAGGGTTTGGCAGATACTTGCCTTTGTGAGGTACTGGGATTCAACCCATCTAGAATCAAGCTGCAGCCACCTCTAGATAAAACATGGCATCTGGATAAAAAAGAGCAGAAAATTGCACAGCTGTTTCAAGTCAGCGTGGAAATCATTGCCCAAATTCAAGGACCCAGTGTTGGCCATGATGCTTTAGAGGATGTTCCTTGGCCTCCCAGAGGTCCCAAGTTCTATCTGCTGGCCCTGGGCAGGTGCTCCAGCCCACTGGCACCATGTCCCAGGCCCCAGGTAAGGAGGCAGGAGGGGTGAAATGCAAGTGCATGGTGAAAAGTGAAGGGCAGCCTGATCATATGGGGGGCACTGACTGGGATGTGGGAGCAGCACAGATAACCAGAAGCACCAGCTGATAGCTTTCACCTGGGGAGAAAGAAGAGGAGGAGGAAGAAAGCTCATGGTACTGCATTTAAACGTGAGCCAAATGCTCACCCACGGTCATTTTCAAGCAGAAAATTTAGATGTGGTCTTCAGTCTTTTCTATTTGTACCACAGATGGTGAATATATTACACAGCTTGTCCTATTTTTCAGCTGTGCCTGTAAGTTTTCTGCACATATTCCTGCCTTTGCAGAGGCTCCTGGTGCAGGTGTTAATTCTCCCCAAAACCTGAGCTGATTGGGAGCTACACTCTTAAAAAAGGGCAAAGTGAGGAAAAGGGAGAAAAAAGGAAAAAGTGAGGCATATTGGAAAGTGGGAAGGTCACAATTTCAAAAACAACTTTACGTCCCTCCTGCTTCATAATAAGCCCTATTTTTAAATTCTTCTTTCTCTACAAGGGTTGATTCTACCTTGTTATTTGTACAGCTTCTAGTATCATTAAGTACAAATGTGGAACCCTTGGCATTACCATTGTATAAATTCTTCAAAAAATGTTCTTAATTAAAGACAAAAAATATTTTTTTCTCTCTGTTTATATCTTAAGATCATGTCTCTGACATGTTTTATAATTAAAATATATAAAGCAGAAACAACAATTAATTAGAAAAAATTACAGGTTTATGTCTTTCTGTATAAAACATTAAAAACTGTGCAACAAGCAAAGATGTTTCATAGTTTGAGAAATTATATTTTATTTCTTAATCTTCAGGTCAATCTGAAGCATTAATATGCTCAGTCAGAAAAGTAGTCAACCAAAGAAAACCTTAGCTCCCACTTTAACATTACAACCTAAAAAAGAGTATGTTGATTTAAAATAAGCAGGCACACCCTAGAGGCAAGTATGAAATGCCACAGTTTCATATGGGATTGAATTTAATATGATAATGTCATGTGAAATACAATGCAGAAAATATCATTAATAATAATAATAATTTTTTAAAACCCTTTTCTAAAAATGCTGCCCGTTTTGTGTTTATATTTATTTTAGGAAGGGATTTATTGTTCACAAAAGGAAAGCAGAGAAAATTTATTGCAGGTTTTAGTTGTGGAAAGCATAGTGGAGAATTTAAGGGAGACAAATATATGCTTTTTTGTTGGCGGGGGCTTTTCTAATGTGTGAAATATGAGCTTTGGAGAATTGTTTATTTTAGGACAAGTCAAGGACTGAATCACAGGGAGACACTTTTTGTTGTGTTTTATTCACTTCTCTCTGGAGAGCTGTCGGGGCTGGCAGGGCTCCTGCCCTGTGGCTGCTGCTGCCCTCGCTGCCGGCTGGCTCCAGCCCCACAGCGCCAGGCACCATCGCTGTGCCACTGCCCAGCCCTGCCACTGGGCCCTCTGCTTCATTCATGGGGCTCAAATGGCTCTTTTCCAGACACCAGCTGCTCCAGGCAGCTCCTCTGGGCCCCTCCAGGGACACTGGGGATGGTGTCAGGCGCTTCCCTGTGCGTGTCCCTCTGCCCTCCTGCAAAGAGAGGAGATGTTCCAGCCCTCTCCCTCCTGCAGCCTCCCTCTGCCCTTCTCACAAACCTCTGATACCCCACGTGTGCCCATCTCTGCCGCCGTGTAGCTACAGCCAAGCTCCCTTTCTGGCCACAAGAAATTCCTCTTGCTTCCAGATCCATCCAGGCTTTCCTGGTGAAATCAGTCAGTGCCCATTGACCACAAGTTTCCTACAGACCCAGTGTGCCTGGCTCAGGCGGGTTTTGAATTTTTGGCTTGTATATTCCTGCTCTGGGCTTTGGGCTCTGGGAACAGCCCAGGGAGAATTGGCTTTGTTTGGAATTCCATGTCTCTGGTAGAGATGCAGCATTCTAGCGTTAATTTGTTCTGCATGAATTTGCACAGGAGGCAAACACAGAGGTCAGATTCTGCCACACTGAATCATGAGGGCCTCTTAGTTCTGCCTGCCTGCCTGCCTGCTGATCAAGGTTAATAAGAGCTGGCAAGCTCCAGAGGCCCAGTTACACTGCTTTAAAATCTTTCAAAGGCAACATGGAATATCATGAGTAAAATCGACTGTGTTGGTCTCACTGGAGCTACATTTGCTTGCCTCAGTTGTGAGTTTATCTATTAATAAACAGATAAACTTGTTGCTGAAATAAATCAGCTTTTGTAGGTCAACACTGATTTAGGCTGAAACTGCATTTAAAGAGGGATCAGAAGCATTTGACTAACAGACTGCTGACTTGAGTTGCACTTTCTATATTGCACCTTCAAAATCTGCAGTGCAAAGAAAGTTTTAGAATTGAATCAAACCTCATTCTGCTGTAGCTGACACCAGACACCCTCGTGACATGAGGTCTTCAGAGACCAGTCTTTCCTTCACAATAGAGAAGTTGCAAAAAATCTGTCATTAAACAGAATTCCGGCTCCATCAAATAAGTTTACACAGCAACTTCAGTGATTCAGTATCGTTCAAAAACACAGCCCTGTGCTTCACACCTGAGCTGAGCTCCTCGAGTCTGCATTGCTGAGCTGCAGCCCAGCGACCCAGCCCATATTCTCACAATGACAGCAATGAATTCAAGTTCAAGAGCCCCATATCCATTGCCTGTGTCCTGCACCCCCAGAAGTCACAAGCCTCTAGGCTCTTGCTACTGAGGTTTTTGATGTTTGGCTACTGCCCATGCCTAAAATAACTTCCTTGGTACATGGCTGTACATCTCCATGCTTATCTCACTTCTTCACTTGGATTAGAAATCAGAATCTCTTCAGTTTAATCCCCATGAACATCCACTGCCTGGCAGAGCTAGTACAGATTCATGCTGCCCTGAGGGCAGAATAAAATTTAGGTTGATTAAATTTCAAACCAGTAGCAGTTTTGCTGAGTGAAGAATGGGGAGGAATCATCCACATTTTCTAGAGATTGTAACAACAATTTTAGTATTGTCTGCTTTAAAAGAAAACTCCACTGCCTGTTCTGAAAAGGATGGCTCAGATGTTTAGGTCCAAAGTGGGTGCTTAGCTTTGAATGCCAGGTTTGCATTGAAATACCTTTCAGGGGTGAAAATTAGATTTCTGTCACCCCTTCTCAACATTTCTGCCTTGGAGGATTCTCCTCCTCAACTTACTGTCTAGCAGGAATCCTGCTGGGAGGTGTTTCAGAGTCCCACTGCACCTCAGCAGAACCAGTCTAGTAAAGCCAGCCAGGTCTTGCATCCAGAGGATGGGGAAGATAGCAACAAAAATACCATGTGGAAATCCCCAACAGAGTACCTAAGGGCCAGCAGCCTTCATCCTGACACCAAGGCAGGGCAAGAGGATAATTCTCTGGGCTTCATGAGGCTGCAAGGTGTATTTTGACCTGCTGGGCAGAAATAGCAGCACCAAGTGGTTGCACAGCAATGATGCTCTGGGGGAGGGGATTCATGCTGCTGGGTCAGCTGCTCACCACTGACCTGCCCTCCCAGGCAGTGGGCTGCCTGTTGGCTCTCAGATACTGATCTAAAAGAAGGCACATGAACCCCAAACTATTTCAGGTTGCAGCATTCAGAGGCGCTGCCATCACAGCAGAGGCTCTGCAGCAATGTCAGGTTACAGAGAGTCTGTGTGGGAGGGAGCAGGGTGCTGCTTTGCACTCAATGTTAATGCTTCTGCTTAGGCATAATCCAGCTGAAGGTCTTTTCAGTACAGCAGAGTTCACTGGAGGTCTAGCTGAGTGTGCTGGTTCAGAGGGCACTAATGCAATTGTGCGATTAATTTACGTCTGCGCTGTTGTTGCTGCGCAGGCTGCGGTCAGTGGAGAGGGGCAGCAGGCACAGCCACTGCTCCAGTGCTCCCTGTGCTCTCACCGGGATGACTGCTGGCCTCTGAGTCACTGCCCAAGGGTAAATAGTGAATACTATGATGACACTCACGTTTGAAAGACAGTGATGTGGAACAAACAAGGTAATTTTTTAATAAATATTTATTTCAAGGAAACATATTTGGCTTAATCCTTTTTCCACTGATGTTGATAAAAGTTATGCATTGACAAAAGGCACCGCAGCATTTGTAATGTATTTTGACATTACGAATGTCAATGAAAGGTTCTAAATAATAGCTAAGGATTATGTATTCCTCAGTGGGAACATGAGTTAGCCTGCTGGATAAATTAATAAACACATTGTTATGTAAGTATGGCAAAGTGCTTCTGATGCTTCATGATTAAACTTGACATGCTGACAAAAGGAAGCTGAGGATTTGGTTCATTTTACTTTATTTTATTTTACATTTTTTAAAATTTTGGATTTTCAAAAATTTGATACTTGTAAGGCTTGCTTGGAAAACCTTCAAGTAATTTCAGTTAAAAGGCATGAAATTTCCAAATGGACAGAACTATATTCAGCTCTGTTTCACAGGCAGAGAAATTGAGGCATGCAGGATATCACTGAGACTTCAATGTCATGGGATCTGTGAACTACAGGCTGCACCCTGGTCATTACAAGGTACAGAAAGTAATATTTAATTGTTTTAATCATGCAAAAATCTCAAAATGGTGTCACAAAAAGAAAGGGACCTACCTGGTGTAAAAATGTCAGAAAGCAGATATTCTTCAGGTTTAGATATTTAATAATGGCCAAGAAGACTTACCATGCCCTCATCATGGTGTATCTTATATTTTACCCTAGGTATCACCATGAATGCTGCAAGCATGGGAGATCCCAGGGGGCTTTTTTGGCTGTGTGGGTGGGACACAGGTCCCTGGCTCAGGGGGGTTCACCATTAATCCCACCCAGCTGTGTTTGCCCTTGGAAACACTGTGCAGCATTGCTGGTAGATGCTAAAGCTTGTGCTTGCACTCCAGCCCCAACACTGCAGGTCTGCTTAGTGCTGCTCTACTTAAGCCAAAGACCTTTCTTTCTCTCTTCCTTCATTGAGATCCCTGGTCTGATCACAATATTTGTACAGTGGTCCTCACTCTGGTGCCTGAGAATCATTTAAATACCTAATATAATCCCAAAACTGAAATATCTAGCACCTAAAAGTGATAACTGCTGATAACACATTTACAAGCATTAGACTGTGGTACATAAGAGATTGGTGTTTGCTACTAAATGCTGGAGGGTCTAGTATTGAGTATTTATAACAAATTATGTTTTTTTATATTTGTAAATATTATTATATATTTATTTTAAAAATTAGAAGTTTTCATGGAAGTGGTTCTTTAACTGGGTGCAGCCTACATCATTTCAGCAAAGGAAGCCCATAGAAATGACTAAGAGTGAAATTAGTTATCACCAACTTCCAGTGCTTTTATCTGAATCTGTATTGTATTTACTGCACTTTCAGCAATCCCAGAATTATTCTCCTAGACTTGGACAAAGTAAAGATTAAAATATCAGTTTTCAAAGCTCATTTCCTTCAGAGCTGATGAGAATTTGGAGTTTGTGTTTTGTCTTTTTTTCGCTTCATTTTTCCATTAAATTGATTGATCTGTAACTGAAAGAGTTCAGCACTCTGTTCTGTCCTGACCTGCAAAGACTCCTTTTGGTGTCCATGCAGTAAGCTGTCAGCCTTTTCAAAGGGTTGTTTTTTATTTTTTTGTAATAGTACAATGTGCATGCACTTTTGTCTACAAGGTCACCTTGTAGAAAGTGACAAAAAACCAGTCACATTAGAAAAAAATATCCTTGGGAAATAAGGTCTGTCTAGTACTGGTGCTCAGGGATCTGCTTGTTCCCTGTTTCTCTGAACTGTTTTATCCACTTAGATGACTCATGAGGACAAGGACAGTCTCATACCCAGCACAGGGAGTACCAGTCTCAGCTGAGTCAAGGGCTCTTCCATACTGAAGGCAATTGTGTGCTGATGGAGCCTGCTAGCTGTGAAACAATAATGATGAGATCAATTGGGTCGATAGCTAATCTTCCTTTTCTTCTCTTAGATACAGATAATGCAGATTCTGCCTTCCATTGCTCCTCTGGTATTAGTAGGAAGATTTATTTAATACCACAGGAAATGAAGCCAAAAATGAGACTGAAATTCTTTTCAGCATAGTGAAGACTTTGATACTTCTGCAAGTCTCTTATACTTAAGACTGAAGGCACAAAGGGTGATATCAGTGTCGTGGGCTGGCACCTCCAGCTTGCACTGCATTTGCTTGGATGTAAGGAAGTACAAAACCAAGGGTGGGACAAAATTGGGCATTTCTGTATTGTCTCCTTGCAGGAGAGGGGGATGCCTTCCCAAATGCATCTTGTCTTCATCTCGCCATTACAGTCAGTGGCATCAAGCATGAAGAGAGTGTCTGGCACAGCTGGAGATGCCTCCTGAGGTCACAGCCTGTGGGTTGCTGCAGACAGCCGAGGCCCAGCTGCCCGGTTTTGCCTTAGCATTTAAACAGGTACTGTCTTCAGTGTGGGATGTTTCTCTCTGGACCCGAAAGCAGCTGAGAACAGTGATCCCCTTCTCATGGTACAGCAGCTACTGTGCAGCTTGCTTCCTTGCGTCATACTCTATTCCTTTCCAAAAGGATTGCAGACAGGAAGCAATTACTTAAGAAATATTGTTAGTAGGATAATCTCTGTGCTACTGACCTTCTCCCCATCTTGGGAGACTTATCAAGTCTCCTGCTCGGCCCTGCCAAGCATAACGTCTGCCTGTGTGACACCAATCTTATCTACCCAGCCTGTGATGCTCCTCAGCCATTATCACCCCTCTCCATTCCCCACCTCCACGTCCTCCCGTCTCCCGTTTCCCGCAGCAGCCCCATGTCTCCGCTCACCGGTGCCCCTCGCTCAGGCTCAGCCGGGCGCTCAGTGACCTCTGGAGCGCCGGGCTGCTGCGGAACGCGCTCCCCTCCACGGGCCGGCGCAGCAGCCTCAGCCTCTCATAAACTTTTGACCCTTGCTTAGTCCTCTGCCATCCCCGGCACAACCAAGGGCAGGGCTGTACGCCTGGGTCTAGTTACCAGCGTCTAGAGACTACCAGGGAGCACAGTGTTGCAGCTCTGATTACACTTACCTGGAAGAAAATACTCTTAAGGCAACAGTTATTTTCTTTTTTCTTTTATTTACTTTTTTTTTTTTAAATTATCATTATTTTTATTTATCATTAGGTTGCTACTCAGGAGCCAGGTGTGAAAGGCTCTACCCCTTGACTAATACAGCATGGTGCTTCCTGAGCTGTGGAAGAAGTGCCTGTTATGGATAAAGGCAAGGAAGAGCATAGAAACAGCGAAAGGTGGTTGCAATCCTTTTGGGGGACATGTCAGAAGCAGAAGCAGCAAGTCCGTATGTCCAGCCTGGAGATTTAATGACAGAAATGATGCCTTCCCTGAGTCTAGATGAAGAAATATCCCTCCCCAGTCAAAAACTACATAGAACACTGTCCATTGCTTTGTTCTACTAGTAAACAGATAAAAAAATACTTTCCAACCACTTCCAGTGCAACCTTCAGTGCTTGTGGCAGTGGTTTGCTTTTCCTATTTCCAGCACTGCAGTTGTGCTCTAAACAACTTACAAGCTTCAAAGCCTTGCTTAGAGCATATTTTCAAAAGCATTATCCTTTCACACAATATATTTGTAACACAATCATTTTCATAACAACTCCTGTCACATTATTGTATCAATCTCACTAAGTGATTCCTTTGAACAGCTTCTCACACCAATTTGAGTAATCTCATGAAGTTTGACTGTGCTCCTTTATCCTCCTCTCCTTGTTCATTTTTCCTGTTTAACCAGAGCACTTATAGGGAGGCTGAAGCCCAGGTAAGGTGTCTTTCTTCTTCAAAGTCTTTGAAAGAGGATAGTGAGATACCCTTTCTGCAAACAGCAGTTTGAATATGTGTCTCCCAGTAACAGAAACCTCTTTTAGTTTCTTCTTTCTTGGACTCTGGCAGTGCGTCCCTTAAAAGCTGCAGCTTCTTAGCTATTGTGAGTGCTGCCAAACAAAAGTCATGGAGATACAAACACCCCTAGTGAGGGCATCTTCTTGAGGAAGGTTAAACCAAGAAATGGCACCCATACTTCTCCTCACGTGGATTCAAAGCCCAGGTGGCCACCAGTCTCTCCTGTGCTTGTGCCAGGAACAGTGAGCCATAGGTCCCTCAAACCCAGTGGGATCTTGGTGTTCCCCAGGGTCTGCCGCTTGCCATCAATGAGAGAACAAGCTCAGATTTCATTTGAAATCAAATCTACAGGATGTTTCTTGCTGTTACAGAAGACAGAAATCTCCAGATTACCCAGAATATCACAGATCCAAACAGCTTTCTATTTACAGTTGCTTGATTTTGGAGGCGAGGCTGACTCAGGACTTTGTGTGCTTGACTTGGCAAAGCCCACCAGTTTGCACCAACCTCAGCCTCCGAATATTTGCCTGCTTCACTTCAGACATGTATCCCTGCAATGCAGATTATAGAGAGGACACACTGTCATTTCTTTTCTCTTGGAAAAATATTTTCCTTTTGTGTAGTTGAATGGTATCTAAATAAACATTAGTTGTATTTTTGTGTCATTTTGAAACACAGGTTGATACTGCAGAAAGAGCAACACACAGCATTCAGTATTTAAATTGTCTATTTTACTCCATCCGGACTCCATAGCCTTGAAACAAATGTGCTACATGACAGCATAAACTCTCTGTGGAGAAATAAGACTAATTCTAGTTACAAATGGTGTTTACAAATAGGTGTTTGATTCTTTTAATTTCTTGTCATATCCTGTTCCATGTAAACTTGATAACCTATTTTTTAACAGGTGCCACAACTTTAATGACTGTGACACAGTATCTCATTACCCTAAAAAATAATCAACAAAAAAGTTTGAAGCTTATTGTCAGCTTTCATGAGAGAACTTGCAGATGGAGCAGGAAAGTGCAGTCAGGTTCAGGAACCTGATGAGGAATACAGAGAAATGTTAAATAAATTATTACTTATGCATTATTAAAAATAAGTCACACTTCTATAGCTCCTCTCAGATAATTAACTCAAATCCATTTATTATTCATTTCACAACTCCATGTAGGTGAAAGAACTATGCCATGTTGGTTTTATGAGCAAAGAGCTGAGACTTTGAAATGCGATGAGTTTAAAAATTATGTAATACCAGGGAATTTTCCCCAGCAGACATTCCAACAGGTGAGGCAGGCAGGCTGGGTTGGTATTCCAAGTTTTACCTTCTGGAGCTGGGACTATGTGCCTGTGTGTCCTGGAGTTGGTTGGAGTCTGGTCCAGTGGTGTTTTCAGATTTGCTCAGTGGGGTGCTGACCCAGCACCTCTAACTCCATGGGACTGGGCTGTTGAACTCATCATCCTGAAACTTGGAGCTGCCAAAAAGACATTTTACAGTGCAATGCTGTGACAGGATGCTGAGGATTCCTGTCACTGTTGTTGAAACCGGAAGAATGACAGTACTGCACAGCAGGGGCAAAAAAATGCTGTGACACAAATGCTGATTTAACTCATGGATGGGGGAGCTGCAACTGCTGAGGCTGGAAGCTGTTATGCCATGTGCTGATGGGAAGCAGAAGGATGGACTTGTCTGATCTGCTAACACGTGTTGAGGAAAGCATCCAACTGCTGCTGATGAATCCAATGGAAAATTAAAATCCTACCCCAAATGATTTTCTGACATGGTATATTCCCAGAAAAAGCAATGACATTTACTGGCGCACTGACAATAACATGAGCCTTATGACATAACAAGTGTTCTAGCAGAGCTGAAGTCAACTGTGCAGCCCAGATTACTTCCACTTTTGTAGACTGCATTGCAGAGTACTGTGGGAAGCAGTATTTTGGGAAGCCTAATGAGAAGATAATCTGAGCCCTGTGAATGTAGGAGAACGTGACTTGCCCTCCTTTCCCCTGAGCTGCTTGGGTTTGCAAATGGCAGAGATTTCCTTTTCCCGGCTTTCAGCCTTATTTTATTTCTCATGGGCAGTTGAATGAAGTTGCGCTGTACCTGTGGTATCCTATGACCATGTTCCTTATTGGGCAGTGGCAATCCTTCTGGGAAAAAACACATCTCAGCCCTTCCTTACATCACTGCCCTAGCCCAGAGGAAGGTACTCTGTGGTTGGTGCATTCTGCATCTGCTCACTGCATCGCACAGGGAGCAGCAGTGAGATCCTGAAGACAGAGAATGCTATTTTTGGTTCTGCACTTTAGCTGGGAGCCTTTCTTCCTTCTCCCAAAATTGTGTTTATTATCAGATCATGTTTCAAAGAAGCAATGAATTTCTTCATTTAAAACACTTCCCCAGAAAGTAGTGGGCTTTCCTGATAAAGAGGCAGGTAGGAAGAACCTGTTCTATTTTAAGTCTCCCTGTCAAATTACGTTGCTTCCCTCTCATGTTGCTGCTATTTAAGCTGTTCCAGAGGTTTGTTCTGACTGTCTTCAGCAGGAGATGCATGGAAGTTGTCTCCAGCGTCGGTCTGTGAGTGTCAGGGAGAGGATGGTCATGATGAATGCCCACCTTCTCCTAGGGCCAGCAGGCTTCCTCCGTGAACTGAGATCCAGATGGTGACAACAGGTGATTTGCTATTCATATAGCAGTAGAAAGTCTGTCAGGGCTCCAGCTGCTGATGGATGAAACTCCAGTTCTCACAAGGGGTTTTCTGACCATAAGCTATAGATGTACTAAATAAACAGTTCCCTTCCTCAAACCACCATCCTTTTCACAGGAAATTGTTGTCAGCTCTTGTACTGCAGCTTTCTATTGACCTGAGGGTTATGTGTGCTGCAAAACCTGCCCATAAAATGGATTAGATGAGTCACAGAATCATCAAGATTGGAAGATATGTTAAAGATCATTGAGTCCAACCATCAAACCAGCCCCACCATAATCACTCCTAGACCACATACCTAAATGCCACATCCAAAGGCCTCTTGAACACTTCCAGAGATGATGACCTCACCACCTTCCTGGGCAATATATTCCAATGCTTAACCACTTTCAGTGACAATTTTTTAAAATATCTAATCTGAACCTCCCCTGGTGTAACTTAAGGCCATTTTCTCTTGTTATTTCACTTGAAACATGACAGAAGAGACTATCCCCCAACTCACTACAACCTTCTTTCAGATAGTTATAGAGGGCAATAAGGTCTCCCGTGAGCTGTCGGAACTCAAAATGTCCCTCAGACATTTTTAGAGGTTCCAGGCCTTGGTCAGAAGCATTTTAGACCCTGGCAAGCAGCTGAAAACAGCTGTGATCTTGAGTTTGAACCATGGAATGAATTACCAACTTTGAAGGTGGAACAAGCGGTCACAGAGAGTTAGATGGTATAGTAAAAGTAGTCACAAATTAGAGGGAAAAATTTTTTAGTATTGTACAAGGGGGTTTTAGTACCTGTACAGGGGGGTTTTACTTTGTACAGGGGGGTCAGGAGTTCTAAGATGGAGGAAAGTGGGCCTGATCCTGTTCTTCCTCCTTCTTCTTCCTTACCTCCATGTTCTTGGTGATGTTGGCATTTTTCTATTGGTTTATGCTGGGGACACACTGTTCAACGTAGATGACAGATATTGGCACATTATTGTAAATATAGTACACGTAATTTCTGGTATATAATGTTTGTACCATCCCACTGAGGGGCAGAGCCCCGCACGCTGCCCTGCAGGACAGACCTGCGGCAGGGCAGCAGAACATGTTATAGATAAGCAAAAATAAACAACCTTGAAAACAGCACAGACAAACTATGGCTTCTTCTTTGGCAACGGGGCAGAAAGACAGAGACTTTCTACAATCTCGGAATCACCAATACCCACAGATTCCGACAGTGAGCCTCCTTTTCTCCAGACTAAATACCCCCGTACAGAATTGAGCCACTCCTCATTAAATATTTTCTAGACCCTTCACCAGCTCCAGTGTCCTTCTCTGGGCACACTCTCCAGCACCTCATTGTCTTGTTGTGCAGGGCCCAGAACTGAGCACAGCAGCCCTCACTCAGACCCCCTAGTGCCAAATACAGAGGGACAATCACTGCCCTGCTGGCCACACTATTGCTGATACAGGTCAGGATGTCACTGGTCTTCTTGGCCACCTGGGCACACACTGGCTTACGTTCAGCTGCTCTTAACCAGAAACCCCAAGGCCCCTCCTGCTGAGCAGCTTTCAAGCCACTCTTCCCCCAGTCTGCAGTGCTGCATGGGGTTGTTGTGTCCCAAGTGCAGAGCCTGGCACTTTGCCTTATTGAATCCCACCAGTTATCCTCAGCCCATCAATCCAGCCTCTATAAATCCCTCTGCTGAGCCTTCCTACCCTCCTGCAGATGAACACTCCTGCCCACATTGGTATCATCTGCAATTGACTGAGGGTGCACTAGATCTTCTGAGGAAAGAGTGTCAAAGGACACTCTTTACTGAAATGTCCACAGCCTTTCCCTCATCAACTGAGTGGGTCACCTTATCACAGGAGATTAGTTTGGTCAAGCAGGTCATGTCTTTTATAAATCCATACTGGCTGGACCTGATCCATTGATTGTCCTGCTTTGTGATGGCACTCAAGATGATCTGCTCCATAACCTTCCCTGGCACTGAGGTCAGGCTGACAGGCCTGTAGTTCCCCAGATCCTCCTCCCACCCTTCTTATAGATGGGCATCACATTTGCCAACTTCCAGTCAGCTGGGGCTTCTCACAGTTGTTTTCCTTTTTTTGCCAGCACTGCTGGTAAATGGTTGAAAGTGGCTTGGCAAGCTTTTTTGCCAGCTCCCTCATTCCTCTAGTTTGCATCCTGTCTGGGCCCATAGACTTGTGAGTGTCTAATTAGCATAGCAGGTCACCAGCCATTTCCTCCTGGATTATGGGAGCTTCCCCCAGCTCCCCATGGCTAACTTGGGGACAACTGGGTTTGTATGGATGACTGAGGCAAGAAGGCATTAAGTACCTCAGTATTTTCCTCATCTCCTGACACTATGCTACTCCTGCATCCAGCAAAGAATAGAGAAGCACCTCGGCCATTTTTTTTGCTGCTGATGTATTTGGAGGAACTTTCTTTTCTTGTCTTTAACAGAAGTAGCCAAATGAAGTTCCATTTTGGCTTTGGCCCTTCTAATTTTCTCCCCAATAACTTAACAATAACCTTGTAGTCCCCCTCAGGTTACCTTCCTTTTCTTCCAGAGGTGATACACTCTCTTTATCTCTCTGAGCTCCAGCCCAAGTTCTCTGAAGATTTAATGAATATTCTGATATTCTCCATAATCTGGTGAGCAGCCAGCTTTTTTCTCTGTGTGTATGTGGAAGAGAATGAAGAGAAGTCTATGCCAAGTAATGGCCATATGAATAATTTATTTGACACAAAACTATTTTGTTCCTTTACAAAGTCTTGTATCCCTGTGAAAGCAGAAGTTACCCAGGCAGCACATTTTCCCTCTGGGGCAGTATGCTCTTTTCCTATATTTGTTTCTCATTTTCTAGCAACAATCTTATTTACTTTATCAGAAATTTATAATCAGTTCTTAGAAGTTTTCTGACTCCACCAGCAACTACTTTGACATCCTGCACTACATATTTTCAGAG